TTTCTCGTATTAATTGAAACTAAGAAAGCAATAAATGGGGGGATTGGATTTAATAATTAAACTAACGAAAATTCTAATAAAACAAATAAAATGTAAACAATGAAAATAAAATAAAATAAACTAAGTGAATTTTCTAGTTCACGGTTTCGTCTACACCCTCGACTGACTCGTCTAATCAATTATGGCATCAAATCTCTATATCTCATGAAATACTAGCCCTAGGCAACGACACGGTCTGTTACCCAAATTTTTCCTTATTTTTAATCTAACCGCGAGACGCTCTACGATTAGACCTGACTTCGTGTACAGTCCAGAAAAACGTTTTCAAGATTTAATACAATTAGCCGCTTTTACGTATTAGAAAAATAAGCTAGACTAAGTAGTAAACTCAACCACGTTCGTCCACTTAAATAGACCGTGTTATCCCCGGTAGTTACCATCTTCCGGATACCACTTACGAATTAAACACATCAACAATTACGGATTGAAGGTCTAATTCAGGTGTAGATATGTAAAGCCTAATCTAGGTGATCAATCTAAATTCAACTCAACACATCATGGTGAATTGTTCAAAATAACACAAGTAATTCCAAAGAGATAACTCCATAATCAACCACGTAAATCAATCAAACATCATCAAATCGTAGGGTTCAACTTTCTCAAAACTAGAAATAAAAACTACTCTAACATAATAAACAAAAAGCAAAAGAAAAAGAGAAGAATATAATTATCCTTTTTGTGTGCGGGTGCGGCTTCCCTCCGCAATTCGTCGGGCTCTCGCGTCTCTACTCTCTGTACGTGCGCTGCTTTCGTTCTTTTTCTCTGTTTGCCGTGAATAATTCTTGTGCTCCCTTTGCGTGGCGGCTTCCAGCCATAAATAGTTCTCTTGCCCCCCAAGTCTTTTCTTTCCTTTCTTGAGTTTTGCTTCCTCTCAAATAATTCTTTCCCAAGCAATTAATTAAACATCTCCAGCCCAAACGAAATCAAAGTCCTACACGTGAATGCTTAATTCACCCAAGCCCATTTGTTTTTTTTAAGAAAATATGACCAGTCCATTAAATGTAGTTGGCCTAATTCATGTATTCTTGGGCTAACTCCGATAATTGATGGCGTGAACTTTCATACAAGAGAAAATTTACCCCACTTACTCTTCATTTGCTAAATAATATTAATAGTACGAATGGGTAAATTTTTTATCATAATTACGAAATATTTAATTACTTAAGATAATGGTTATTTTAAGAAACTTTTAAACTACTCACTACACACATTAATGGTGGTAATATAATATCGGGAAGAGATATTCTCCTTTCTTCCACACGCAATAGCCAAAATAGCCATCTTTCCTAACTCAAAAAGCTACTCTCTGCCTGAAAACTTCAATGGCCAAGCGAAGGAAATTCGAAGCCAAATCCATCAACAGTGAAGACGGTCGACGGCCGGCCGAAGAAGCCAAGTAAATTTCGATTCGCTCTCTCTATCTCTATATCTCCATTATTAGAATTTGTAGAGATTTGAATTTTCGATTTTAAATTCTGAGTTATTTTTTGTTTTTGGTTTTCGAGATTTTTTTATTCGAATTTGGCTTTCAAGATTGAATTTGGTTTTCGAGATTGATTGTTATGGTTACTGGTTGATTTTAAGGTGACTAACGGTTTTTACAATAAGGATTTTCAAATGGGGGAAGTTTATGGTGATAATTGTTTTGGCCTGAAGCCCTTTTGTTTTGTTAAGCTAGGGATTTGGAAGGTTCAAGCTTGGATTTGCAGATATCCGGGTTTATGTTTATGGATGGTATAGCCCTTGGTCATGTCGTTGTCGTCAACCTCGAAAACCCGACCTTGAGGCGGTACAACCTTGCCTGGTCATCCTCACCGAAGGGGATCACTGACTGTTTTTGGAAACTGTTGTCCACGACGGTGTTGTTGTTGTCACTGATATTCTGAAGAAGGTGAAGCCCGCGGAGTGATTGGGCATGCCATATGACGGAAGAGGAAAAGCGTATTTCCCGATTTTGTGTGTTGTCCCACAAAGGAGTGTAGTAAACATATACACAAATTATACGTTAGTTATACATAATCTATAATATGTTATTTTTTAGAGTACGCAAAGTTGTTGGTTAAATTTTGTAAATGTCATGTAAAGTAGACGTATGTTGTTTATCTTATGTATAACTACATTCGATTTAGATTTTGAAGTCATTTAGAATTGTGTATTATGTTTTTATCCCGTTTTAATGTTGTTTATATGTTGTTTTTATCTTATGTATATATACCGTTATTATTAGAGAACTGTCAAATGTGTATTATGTTTTATCTTGTTTTAGTGTTGTTTATATGTTGTTTAACTTATTTATATGTACGGTTATTATTAGAGAACTGTCATATCATGTTTATCTGATGTATATATAAAGTATATCTGAACATATATACAGATCACAAAGAACATTTTTTTATTTTTTTTTATTTTTGCTTTCCAATCTCTTAATTTTAAGCTTCAAATTTGTTGTTCTTTTCGATTTTTTTGCTTGCGGATTCTCTAGTCGTAATTAAATTAAATGCATGATTTTTAATTGGAAAAGTAGACATATGTTGTTTATCTTATGTATAACTACATTCGATTTAGATTTTGAAGTCATTTAAAATTGTGTATTATGTTTTTATCTCGTTTTAATGTTGTTTATATGTTGTTTATCTTATGTATACATACCGTTATTATTAGAGAACTGTCAAATGTGTATTATGTTTTATCCCGTTTTAGTGTTGTTTATATGTTGTTTATCTTATGTATATATATACGGTTATTATTAGAGAACTGTCATATCATGTTTATCTAATGTATATATAAACTATATCTGAACATATATACATATCACAAAGAACATTTTTTTTGGCTTTCAATCCCTTAATTTTAAGCTTCAAATTTGTTGTTCTTTTTTGATTTTTTTGCTTGTGGATTCTCTAGCCGTAATGAATTAAATGCATGATTTTTAATTGGAGAGAGAAACATATTTATTCTTAATTGAATTAAATGCATGCTTTTTAATTGGAGAGAGAAACAAATAGAGAGAGAAACAAATAGAGAGAGACAAAGTCCTTGGGCAATTAATTACATGTTTATTGATTGGAGAGAAAAAGAAATGAAGATGTGGCAGTAAATCTCGTATTTGTGAAAAAAAAAAACCAACATCAAGTCCTATTTTGATTAAACTTTTTTCAAATCGTATACATGATAATATTTGTTATATAGAATATATGTATGTAAATTTCCCTTCATACAATGCGTTGTGTCCTTAAATTACTCCAATAAGCTGAAAATAAATATAAAATAATAAAAGCAAAAGAATCCATCCAAATAATAAATAAGTCGAAAATATAAACGTGCGAATAAATTAAGTATATAAAAATACATTATTAAAAATATAAAACGCGCACATTTTTCGACCTATCATGTTTGGTTAGGTTTCGTGTTTTTGGTTTGGGTTGTTGACCTCTGTTCTGCCCGAGTGTGGGGGTATTATCCATTTGGGATCGTTCTTATTCTCATTTTGGGAACTTTGTAGTTTTCCTTACATAGTGTTTGGTTCAAGGGATTTGGAGGGGAGGGGAGGGAAGGGGAGGGGATTTTTTAATTTTCCTTTGTTTGGTTTGTAATTTAAGAGGGGAGGGGAGGGGAAATTTTAAGTTAAAATCCCTCCACTTCCCCAAATTTGCTCCCCTCCAAAAGTGGGGGAATTTAGAGGGGAGGGAAAATTTTAAGTTGTAAAATTACTTTTTTGTCCTTCATATGTAAAATATTTTAATTTTTTATCTCTTACATCATTAAGAATATAACTGTCATTTCAACACTATTTTCTTTCCCCTCCATTTTCTTAACCAAACAAGGTTAACTAGTTTCCCTTCATTACCCTCCTACAAAATCCCTCCAAACAAGGTAAAATCATTTTACATCATCTCCCCTCCCCTCCCCTCTCTTCCATTAAAATCC